AGACTTAGCATTTGGTTCTTCAGCAGAACTTCCTGTTATCCTTAGTAAGGATGAGTTAAGTATACAGACCTACTATAATACATCATATGAGCTGCTTGCACTTTGACAGTGTTTTGTACACTTACGTGAATTTAATCTTAAACAAGACCAAAAAAAAAGAAAACAAAAAACTGACTGCTATTTTAATTTGGATTGATTTTATTTGAGCCAGATTTCACAGCAGAACTAATTTTGAACTCCCTAAATTCCTAAAAGAATATATTAACATTAATATACTGAGTAATGAAAAAGACCAATTATATGTGATGAAAACTAAAGTCAAGAAAATTGATAAATCATCTTGCTATCATGAATAAAAAAGTAGTCATTAAGTATTATAAATCTTTCTTTAAAGAGAAGGCCATAATTTTTATTGCCTAAAAAGTGACCATTTATTTTACTTATTTTTTAAAGATTATTTATTTATTTATTTATTTATGCATACAAGAACTGGGGGCAAGGCCAGAGGTACAGGAAGAGGGGAGAGTAGGTAAGGAGTATTCGCCAGAGAGTGGGGAGCAAACGATCAGATCTACTGGAATATACTGTTGAGGGGAGCAGCAGGCAAGATAGGAGAGGTCTGCTGTGCCATGTGGGTTAGCTCTCTGGCTAGGAATCAAACTCAGGCCACAGTGGCTGGCAATAGCTTGATAGCTCTGAGGTCTTAACCCCTGCATCACCAGGGAGGCCCCATATTTTATAAACTTTAAAGGAACAGAACATCTGATGTGCCTTAGTTTATTTACATCAATGAAACAGAGACCCAAAAAAATGTATATTTTGCGAAATTAGAACAGACCCCTGGTCTTTTCTGAATTCAATTTAGTATTAAATCAACTCCAATATAACGACCTTCAATACTTAGAGAGGTTGATTTTTAACAACATACTTAATGCATTAGAAAAATAAAGAAATATTTTCCCTTTTTGTTTTTACATGCCAAAATAAATATTTCATGGCCTTTAATCTTTTATACTTTAAAAATCATGAAATGAAAATAACCACATAGTTTATTCTATTTTTATAAAGAAGATATTTTTTAAAACATTTGCCAAAAGATAGAGTAAAAATGTTCATTTTTGATTAGTCCTGTCATTTTTACAGCAGAATTGTTTCTACGTATTATTTTCTAAAATAATTTACGACCCTCCCTGGTGGCACAGTGTGTTAAAGCACAGCACTAAGAAGATAAAACCACTTCAGCATGAGTTCGATCCCCTCCCTGGAGGTGACCACCTGGCACGGCAAACCTCTACTGACCCACCCACTGCTCTCCTCAGCAGTGTACTTCATCACTAGGTCTGTTCTGCTCCACACTCTGTCTCTGGTGAATCTTCTCACTGTCCCTGCACCTCTGGCCTCAGCACTGTATGCATAAATAAATAAATCTTAAAATAAAATAACTTACATTAGGGATAATATGTGAAACATAGGTAAAAAGCTAATACAACATTTGGCCATAACTAATTTGGATTTTTAAATGTTTTTATTCGAAAATTTTTACTGATAAACTTTTTCTGCAAGAATATTAGAAAGATTGGGCCCTCCCTGGTGGCACACCAGGTTAAAGCGCAGCACTACGAAACTATCTGCAGCCATTTGGTTGCAAGTTCAATCTCTGGCCAGGGATGTGACCCATGTGGTGTGGCAGACCTCTCCTCACTCACCCACTGCTCCTCTCAGCAGTGTACTTCATGGATCTGCCTATTTGGCTTCCCACTCTGTCTCTGGTGAATCCTATCACCCCCGCACCTCTGGTCTGTACCCCAGATCTATTTGCATAAATAAATAAATACATCTTTAAAAAAAATACTGGCGAAATTGCTTACCATGGTGCTATCCGGGAAATAATCTTAGGGATAGGAGAATATATAAACTTGTTCTCAAAAACATGTTCCCAAAAGCAAATAAAACTACAATGAGATACCATCTGACACCCTTGAGAATGACTCATACCTAAAAGATCAAAAACAACAAATGTTCGTGAAGATGTGGAGAATCAGGAACCTTCTTAACTTTAGGTGGGAATATATACTGATCCAGTCACCATGGAAAACAATATGGAGATTTCTCCAATTATTAAAAATAAATCTACCATATGATCCAGCCATTCAGTCCTAGGTATATACCTGAAGAATGCAAAAACACTAAGTCAAAGGAATATATAAACTGCTGTTGACTGCAACATTATTACAATAACCAAGTTAGGAGAGCAACCTAAGTGGCCCAAGTACAGATAAGCAGAGAAGGAAGCTGTAGTATACATATACATATTATAATATTACTCAGCTATAAAAAAGATGAACTCTTGCCATTTTTGACAGCATGGATGGAACTGAAGTGGATTATGCTTAGCAAAATAAATCAGGATAAAGACGAATTCTAGATGGTTTCACTTATATGCAGAATAAAGAGAAAGAAAACAAAGGATCAAGCAAAAGAAAACCAATATAAAATATTAGAAATCTGACTACAGAATTGAGGCTACCAACGAAGGAAGGAAAGGCAAGAGAGCAAAGTTGGGGGGTGGGCACAATGAATTATGGTGGAGGACTATGGGCACTTTGGTATGTTGTGACATACGTCTGAGGAGATAGGATTCTGGCCACTGAATCACTGTGTTGTAAACCAGTATTACCTCAGTGAACATGTGCCCCACATTTTACCATTAAAATCAAACAAAATTGGGCCCTCCCTGGTGGCACAGCGGGTTAAAGCACTGCACTAAGAAGCTTAAGCCAATTCCTCATGCATGAGTTCGATCCCCGCCTGCCCCGGAGGTGACCACATGGCACGGCAGACCGCTCCTGACCCGCCCACTGCTCCCCTCAGCAGTGTACTTTGTCCATCTGCCTGTTCTGCTCCCTACTCTGTTTCTGGTAAATCTTCTCAACCTCCGCATCTCTGGCCTATACCCCAGTTCTGTATGAATAAATAAATAAATCTTAAAAAAGAAATCAAACAAAATTATTTTTAAGAATGTTGTGATCATATGATTTCAACATTTTCTAATTCATTATAGTGTAATCAATTTATATTATAAGATACTAGCATGTGAATTAAGTAGGAATAAGTTAAGATGTATTTTATCTCTAAGTCAATACTGGGGAAGAAGTAAAAGTACAGTATGGATTTATAAATATCACTGCAAATAGCTAGATGATTTCAGAGAAGTTTCTAGAACAAAATTGTTCTATTTTGATGATTTGGAACAAACACATTAATTTGCTTAACCCATTTATTTAATTTGAGTGCATATTATTTAATTTAGGTTACATTAACAATTTTCACTAAAGTATTTAATATATTTTTCACCACTCTTTTAAAGGTATGCAATGGGAAGTCAAAATAGTAGTTGGGTGGTGCAGCAGATTAAAGCACAGGCACTAAGAAGCAAAATCCACATCCACATGTATTCAATCCCTGCCTGCCCTGAAGGTGATCCATATGGCTTGGCAGACCTTTCCTGACCTGCGGGCCTGCTGGTCCACAACAGCAGTGTACTTCAACTATCTGCCTGGTCTGCTCCCCACTCAGTCTCTGGTAAATCCTCTCACCGCCCCCGTACGTCTGGCCTGTACCCCAGTTCTGTATGCACAAATAAATAAAATTTAAAAAAAAATAGTAGTTGGGTTCTGTAACTTACTGCTTACTAATAGAAAAGCTTTAACCACTGATTTAACTTTCTTGAGCCCTAAGAGACCTGGGAATGTGTGATATTTCAGTTCCAGAAAAAGAAGTCTCTTAAATATTTACTTTGTGCAAGTTACTTATCAAATCCATTTTACATAAAAGCAATTAGAAAGGAAGCATATCTTAGCAATACACACCTCCCCTGCCTATCACATATTTTACAAACCAGAAAATCAAAATGCAGGAAAAAGTTAGTGATTTTTCCAATGATAGCAAGTGGCAGAGCCAGGACAAGAATCCACAAGTACCCATCAAGTTACTCATTGTCCTATTCTGATATATTGATTGAGGGTGTCTTGGAGGAGGCTGGCAAGAAACTATGAATACAAAAAAATACAAAAAAAAGAAGTGTCTTGGGATGGTCAATGCCAGTAAGGAGCTTATCAGTTAAATTCTTGATTCTGATTCAAAGGCAGGAGATAATCTCTGGTTAAAAGAATAATATCTAGCTCTTTGAGAAAGTTTCTTAGATTAATGCTGTATTTTTCTTCGTCTTTGGGGCACCATTAGCAAGATTTTAGTTTAGCATTAAATGGGAAGTGTACATTGCACATTAAAATGTTTCATACCAGACAGTTTCCTGGTTTTAGCCAGTGGCAACTAGTTGAATATTGCTTTTGCAGACAGTTAAGAAACCAGTATTAAGTGAAGCCACTTCCTACATCCAGGAAGGTGCTTGAGCCAGGAATTCAAATCCATTAGTGTTAAGTGCTGCCCAGAACTTGGCAGATGGGGAGTGGAGAAATTCTTTCTGCTAAGAACTTGAAGATTCTTGCTTCTTTCTTCTTTAGTTTCATCTCTTACCCTCCAATTATTGCAAAATGTCCCTCTGCAAAAAGACCAAAACTCCACTGAGGGTCTAGAAAATTATTGTCAGAAAAAGGTCGTGCAAGTTGTTAACAATTTTCACATTACCAATCCTCTCTGTATCCCAAAATGTGTAAGTCAGTTTCAGACATTTAACATCAGCAGATACAATGGGTAAATGAGATCCCAAGTCCGTTTCATTTTCTTCTTGGGATTTTTCTTAACTGTCCCCATTTCCCACAACGAACTGGTGTATCTTATTGGGGGAAACTTATGAGCTGTGTATTTTTAAAACATTTGGAGGCTTGGAGAGGTGAAGGGCAGTTATTTCCTGCCTGGTAGTGTCCTCCTTTTCTTACTTTACAAACAAAACCCGGATGTGACTAGGGATGGGGGAGGAAAAAAGGAACAAAAAGTAAAACTTTGTTCTCCAGGAAAAGTGGGCTAGCACAACCCCAGCTCTTGGGCCGCAGCCCAGGCGGGTCCCCGACGGGCGTGGCAGGGTCGGAGCCTGGACCGCTGGGCCAGCATCCCCGCGGGGAGCCCAAGCAGCAGGGCTTCTCGGGGTCCTGGGGCTGCCTCTAAAACTTAACCCTAACCGCGGCCTTCCTGGGCAGGCTTCCTGCGGTTGTGGGGATCTGAGAAAGAGCACCCAGGGGTTTAAGATCCTGGGACGCAGGGCAGCGCAGGCGTGAGGACACGTCGGAGGCTGCTGAGCACTCGGGGAGCCAGGATCGCGGCGCGGGGAGGCGGTCACGTCCAGCGCTGGCGGGCGGGGTGCGGGCACCGCAGTTATTTCGGGACGCGCCGTGGTTTGCAGCATTTCCAGCCACTCTCCTCCAGTGCTGTGTGTTCCTGGGCCCAATTCAGGAACGAAAATGCCTGCTCTTCACATCGAAGATTTGCCAGAGAAGGAAAAGCTGAAGATGGAAGTCGAGCAACTTCGCAAAGAAGTGAAGTTGCAGAGACAGCAGGTAAGTTGGTTGTTCCAGAGTTTGTCCTTCTCTGAAATGAACCGGGATCAGCTTCCCCTGGTCTGTTGTTGGCAAACAAGTAGGACTCCAGTCTCCTCTGGGTTTTTGGTTGGTTTGTTTGGGATTTTTTTTTTTTTTTTTTGTATCTTCTCTTGAAGTAGGGTTTTGGTGGTGCCTACCAAATGCTAGTTGAAATGGGCAAATCCTAGGAGGCAAAGGAGAGAGCAAGGCACTTAAGAGCTAAGTGTCAGAAGAGCTGAGGAGCCTAAAATGGGGGATACAAGAAATTCTGCTGCGTTGGTTTTTTAAAACTCAGCCTGAAAAGAAAAAAGGCAGATGCCCGTTTAATTCCTCTATCTTTTTCACCAGGGTTTGAAAGAATGTATTTGAAGGACATTTTAAAAAATAATTTAATAAGTTTATTTTTACATCATTCGGTGCCTCTTCCCTTCTCAATTGTAATCCCCAGGGGGACTTCCCATCACCAAATAACTCATGTGCCATCAGCATAGTCCAGTGCACTTCTCCCAACCACACCCCACCCTCTTTTTTTGATCCTCTTCCCCACTCCATCCTGGTAAAATGTCTCTGGTATATAGTTGTTCATTATTATTATTATTATTTCCCCTGGTCCTTTATACTCCTGCTGAGAAAAACCATCCGGTATTTTTCCTTGAAGAACTTTTTCTAAGATCACAGTTTAAAGTCTTGAGTTACCAAGTTTTGAATTTCACCAGGGATCTCCTGAAATATCCAGTGGGACTACTGGGACTTGGAAGTGAAACATTACCATTTTTAGACATCTACTTGTAAATCATATTCCTTTATAACTCCTACTTTAGGTTATTGGCATACACAATGAGCTAACACAGTAGTATGTACCCGTGTTTATAAATAAAATTCTTTTTAGTGATCATGATTCAAAATTGTAAAGACTGCTGATATGGATTAGAAACTCAGTGAGAACACACGCCCGCCCGGGTGTGCAGAATCTCCCTGGAAATTTGTTGGAGTTGTTATATTCTTACGTCAGTTTCCTACTGATAGTTAGGTCTTTGATAAGATACTCATCTATCTTCCTTTTTCATCAGTCAGGCAATCTGTTAACCAGGAGTAGGCTTTTTGAATAAATTCTGTTAAGGGGAACAATGTAGTCCTAACTCCACAGCAAGAAAATTTTCAACTGATTTTATTCCTCTAGAGTTTAATACTAGAAAAAAATTATGGCAATGGAATTGAGATAGGTAAATCTGTGCATCACTTGCCTTCCTGCCCTAGTTATGGCAAATCTATTCATGGCAAGAGTTTTGTTACTCAAGATACATTTTTTTTTTTTTGAGTGACTAGTGGAATGCAGCTTTACTCTTTACACATTTCTTTTCTAAAATTGAACCTTTCGTGTTCAAATCCCAGCTCAACCAAATTTCTACGCAGGGCAATGAAACCTTTAAAATGTTACTATATTTAAAGTAAAAAAGAAAAGTTACAGGATCCAGTGAATAAACTTGTTTCTTAAAATCTCAAAGGACTCATTTTGTGGATGACAAAGTCCAAAGTACAGCCTGTGCTGATCACCTAGAGCTTTTCCACCCACTGCACCTTATAGGTAACCAACTAAATCCGTGTCTATGCTGAATTGGAGCATCTTAATATCTGGTACCACTGTAGAATTTGCAAGTGTCTTCCAGACAATGTTGGGCAAGTATTGGGTAAGGACCTAAATGCAGCTGAATGTTAGCAATTTCTATTTATTAGGACCCTGCTGCATAGGCTTTTCAACTCCAGAAATTCCCTGTGAGTGCTAGCAGGAAGGAAAACTTGAAGGACAGTCTTGGATTCAAGCATACTTTATTATGCACTTTGAGTTATAGTGTTAGTGCTGGACCAACAGTACTCTTAGGGAACATTCAATTCTCTTACTCTTAAGGATTAAAAAAAAAAAAAGGATTAAAAAAAAAAATCCTGAAACCCAAAAAGGTTAACTAGATCCTCATTTAAAACCAAAGAGATAGTGATAAAGCAGATACAAAAACACTTGTCTCCTGATGTCCCTGATCTGTTACTGTTTCAATAAATGGTTCCCTTCTGAGCTGTGTGCTGTGTCTAGGCCTAAGGGACAAACACAGGCCGAATTCAGGCTCCATCTAATTGTTGTTCAAACATACCCTTTTGATTCCTGTAAGGAAACGCACCAGGAGAATTAGCCACTTTTAGCAGTTACCGATCTTTTTGTAAACCTAATGAAGAAGCTTCTGTAAACAGATGCAACTTGGGAAAATATGAACTTATCTACACATTTCTCTGGAGCCTCAGACCCCAAGTTACCATATCTGTATCATCATATCTGAAAAGTTACATAAAATGTATACACACTGTGAATGTCAGCAGCAATTGTGAGCAAATGTTACCTGAGAATGAGACCCAACACGATTTTATTTTGCCACAGTTTAAATAATATCACCTAGTTTTAAATTTTCGATCAGTGGCTTTCACACTAGTGTGCAAAAAATGTTGGAGTGTGCAAACATGTGCAAGCAAAATATTAAAATTTCTATTTTTTAAAAGATTTATTTACTTATGCAAACAGAAGTGGGGTACAGGCCAGAGGTGCAGGAGCAGTGAGAGGATTCACCAGAGACAAAAGTGGGGAACAGAGCAGGCAGATTGACTGAAATGCACTGCTGAGGGGAGGTCCGCTGGGTCAGCTCCCTGGCTTGGGGTCACCTTACTGCTTCTAGATTCACATCGCTGAGATTTAACCACCTTGCTCCACCAGGGAGACCCATTTAGGTTTTATAATTAGGCCTTAAGTAGTAACACAGTAATAATATCTTCAGTTATGGCTAATAATTATATTCATTTTGGGATATATATGCAAACATTTTTTAGTGATTCTCATTAATTCAGTTTGAAGATTCCTAATCTAGACTACAATTCTTAAGCGTATTTGCTTAATTTTAAGAGCTCTCCATTGAAATATGCTGCAGCATCCATAATTTTTATCTCCGATTTCATACTAGTGATACAAGCCTTTATTAAGATACCAGCCCTTTTTTTCCACCTGTATTTTTATTCCCTTTTTTTTTTAAACTCAAACTTGGCAACCTCTCCTAAGGATAGACTTTTGAAGAAGCTGTTCAACCCATCTCCATTGTAGAAAAGCTTTAAATGATTATACAAACAATAGTTTCATATAGGCCTAATATACCTCAGATAAGGGGTTTTTTCTTTGATTTTTTTTTTTAATGTCCACCCACCCCCAACCCCCAAGCAATAGGGAAGGAATTCTGAGCAGAGACAAAGTGGATCATTTGGATAACTTCAGTCTTCCCTAGTCAGATTTTCTGAAGTGGTCCCCTCTATGGCACACACCCATAATTAGTGTACATTTTGGCAAGACACATACCAAAACATTGGGTGATTATCTACTGCTGCATCTGCTTTTTAGCATGGAAAATTAAAAGTGGGTATGCTTTAATTCCTAAAATACCCTGACACATCATAATTGTACTTTAGCAGAGGAAGTAAATCATATGAGGAACAATGGATAGAAATTTCTGGAGATGATCTATTTAAATATACAGTGACTTTCAAACATGTTTTAATCCTGGCCATAGTAAATATATTTCACAGTGATTCTGTGAATATATATGCTGTATGCTATACTCTGATATTTGATTTCATTTCACTGTTTAGTAAACTGGTTTTATTAATTTCACTAGAGGATAATGACAAAGTTTGAACACTTCTAATTTTTTTTTCCAGGTGTCTAAATGTTCTGAAGAAATAAAGAACTACATCGAAGAACGTTCGGGAGAGGATCCTCTGGTGAAAGGAATTCCAGAAGACAAGAATCCCTTTAAAGAAAAAGGCAGCTGCATTATTTCATAAATAACTCTGGGGAGAAATGTTATCCTCAGTGGAAGAACAAGTTTGTTTTAGTTTTTCCAAATAAAACCAACCTGCCTTTTAAAGAAGGAAACATTTAAAGGAGATTTTCTTAAGCACTTACTACAGATAGTCTTCAATGTAAAAGCACTGTGCTTCTCCTCTTTGCTCACAACACACCCTTTTTATGAGACCAGAGAGTATCACATGTACAGTTATGGAAATAAGTCCATTACTTGTGTATGACTTGTCTTTATGTTGCTTGATGCCGCAAATAAAGTTTTATCTCTGGAAATGAGTGTTGGCAATTTAATAAGGATTTTTTTTAAAGATTTATTTATTTATTAATAATTTATTTACTGAACTGGGGTACAGGCCAGAGGTGCAGGGGTGGTGAGAGGCTTCACCAGAGAGAGAGTGGGGAGCAGAACAGGCAGATCAATGAAGCACACTGCTGAGGGGAGCAGCCGGCTGTCAGGAGAGGTCTGCCACGTCTTGTGGATCACCTCAGGAGCTGGGGATCAAACTCATACTGAAGTGGCTTTAGCTTTTTAGTGCTGTGCCTTAACCTGCTGCGCCGCCAGGGAGGGCCAAGAATAATTTTTTAATTGCATAAAATTTTATATTTCTCTCCATAACCTATTTAATATTTGGAACATATATCAAAGGATTGCATAGTTTGATAGATCAGGTCTCAATCCAGCTCTCTTGGGGTTTAGAGTGCTGAGTTCTGACTTCTAGAACGTGTTTGATCTAATGTAAACTACTAGGGAACTGAACGAGTTGAATTCCTAACTACAGGTATTCCCTGCTTTCTGAGAATTCACATTATGCCACTTTGCTTTTATGAAAGACCTACATTAGTACCTGCTTTCACTAATCAAAAGAAATCTGAAGAGCATGTTCACTTTTATGACAGAGGAAAAGCAAAAAGTAGTGTCAAAGTGCATCATTATAAAGGCAGTGTGCCCCAGGAGTGAGAATGTTACACCACGATCTTGTCATGTATGACTTTGTATTAGTTATGTGTTTATTGGGTCATTCCTGCTTTTAATATAGTTATTATTTTAGGTTTTAGATATTATATGGTTATTTTTTAAGTCTAGAATATTTAAGTATTTTTGCTTATAGATGGTAATTGCTTCTTCACTGCTGGCCATCTTGCTTGGGGTAAGGTTTCATTTCAATACTCTTCCTTTGAAGAGTGGGTGGTGGGGAGGAGATACATGTTAGCGAAATGAATGAGTTGAATTCCTCATATTAACAGCAATCAGATTATACCATGAACCAGGTCAAGCTTACATTAGTATTTACCCAGTTTTTTCTTTTAAAGATATTTTTCAAAATGTTGGTGCAATAGTGGACTTCTAAAAAGATGGGAGGAGTGAGGATAGGGATCAGAAGAGTACCCCCAAGAGGCCATCTGTTATGTTTATCCACAGAAAGTTGCATCTCCTTCCTGATCTCTAGGAGGTCTTGGGCTTGGTGATGCTCCTGGTTCTGTGAAATTGGCACAGATACTAGGGCTGCCCTTATTCCTACCTGCCATTTCCAGTCACCTTTGGCCTGAGTCTCAAATGCCTCTTCCTTTTCTAAAGGAACCAGTTAATCTTTGCCCATTTCTGTTTCTTTTTTTTTTTTTAAAGATTTATTTATTCAAACAGAACTGGGGTACAAACCAGAGGTGCAGGGGCGGTGAGGGGCTTCACCACAGACAGAGTGGGGAGCAGAACAGGCAGATTGAGGAAGTACACTGATGAGGGGAGCAGGGAGGGGGGCAGGAGAGGTCTGCCATGTCATATGGATCACCTCCCGGGATCGAACTAGCACTGAAGAGACTGCAGCTAGCTTGCAGTGCTGAGTCGTAACCCGCTATTAAGGAGGGCCAATCTTTGCCCATTTCTAAAATTAGTTTGCCAATTTTTCTTATTGATATACAGGAATTCTTTAGATATTCGGGACATTTACTCTTTGTCAGTCAGTAATAGGTGTTGCAAATACCTTTCCTAGTTTACAGTTTAACTTTTCATAGCAGGAATCACAGCTGTAATGTTTTTACCTCAAGGTGCAACTTGCCCCAGCCCAAGGTCTGCCCACATCCTCTATGAAGGCACCTGCAACTGTGATCTCAAAGGAATCTTTCCTTTGCCCCATCGGACGCAAATGACTAAGATTTGAGCCATAAGGAAAACCCTTAACTGGTTAGCTCCAATTTAAATGGGCTTAGTTTCTTAGTTAGGTCTTCACGGTCACTGCACGCAGGTGTGCCTTATCAAGCCAGAGCAGTATCTGGGCTTTACAGCAACTTCCTTAAGTGTTTCAGCATCCTCACTGCACAATTGCTTTGCTTCTCTGTGAAGGAACAGGATACTTAAGGCTTTTAAAGAGCAGGTTATACCAGACCCAGGTCAGAGAACATTTCCTTCAGTTTCCTGCCGTTTCCCAAGGATTGATGTCAGTTAAAATTTCTGACAGCGCAGGGATGATTTTAGTACAAGACGGATCTGCTCCAGGGTATGTTTAAGAATGGTAAGGGATTGCCCCCCAACCATAAAACAGCCATAAAACAAGCAGTATACACTGCTACTTTGACTGTAAATTTCACATGGCATAGGGTTTTAGTATCTTGGCACCTCTATAAAGTTTTACTGTAATCAGCTGTTTCATTTATTTTAAGTCATAAACTTCTGCGGCATTAGAAAGCAAAACATACATTTTGGTTATTGGTAAGACAAATCAAACCACTTGCTTCCTTCACAAGGGCCAAATGAAAACAATTATTCCTAAATTCTTGAAAGCTGTGGATTACAAGGCTGTATTCTGAATTTCTATTGCTTCCGGTCATAGCTTTTGCATTCCAACCATGCAACAAAGTAGTCAGCCCAGTTCTTAGTAAGTATCCAATCTTGCGAATGTTTTCACTAAATCTAATTCTGCTATTGTTTTCTTACTGTTTCATCTAGTAACATATAGAAGTGTAATAAAATCCTCTTGATTTTTAAGTGCTCAACTGCTAAATCTTATTAGCTTGCATTAGGAAGAAAATGAAAAATGTGGTAGCTATCTATTTGGGTATATTATAAAAGTAACTTTAGTATGTGGGAATTTGTTCAGTAGAATTTAAAATGTGTTCAATTTCTTCCAAGAATGTAGTTGTGTATGTTGGGAACCCAAGATTTACTGACAAGGAAAGAATTCAGCCTGGCATCCAAGCTTGATATGGGACTAGCTAAAGGGGATAACAAATAGTCAACTGGGCCTAGAGTTCCTGAGATATAGGTGGGAGGAACTGGGCCTAGCACCAGGGAGCACAGCGATGAGTCACCTTTGGAATGTGAACCTAGATCTCTATAAAAGACCCTTTCCCCCTTATTGAGTTGGCAGTAGCTGCTGACCCTACTCTTGGGCTCTGTCTCAGCTGCTGTCCGAGAGAGCAATAAACTCTGTTTGCTCTGCCTTTCTGCCTCCAGCCTTCCTTTCTCATGGCCGGTCACAGCAGTTGGGACAAAACAGTGTAATCATTTGGTAGCAAATTATGTTTTGTGTATTGAGAATTGGGTTCTATGAATGTATATTAAATCAGAAAAAATGGCTTTTCTCTTTCTAGGAAGAACCTATATTAAAAACTTACCATACTTGGCATTTTAAGACAATTTATATTAGTATGTGGAATACAGACTGGTATTTATTGTCATAATTTGCATTTCTTGATTTCTTATGATTTTCAATCAGATTTTCATGTATGCCAGTTTTGTTTTATTTTTTTGTTTTATTTTTTTTTTTGAAATTGCCTGTTTTTATCCTTTGTTCACTTAAAAACTCAGTTTCTTTTTTTCTTGTTGATTTATAGGTGGTCTTCATATATTATTCTTGGCTGGTTATACAAATTTTAAGTACCTTCTTCCGTTCTGTGGCTAGTTTCTTGTAGACATATCTATTACTAAATAGAAGATTTAAATTGTTTTGAATGTGCTTAAAAGCTAAAAAAATCCACAAGAGGCTGCAGAGAAATGTACTTGGAAATCATTTATTCTCTCCTCATATCCCCCAAAGTTAGCATTTCATACTATAGTACTATTTCACAATTAAGAAATTAACATTGCTCAATCCATATAACTTGCTCTGATTTTTACCTCTTGTCTATGTATGCACTTGTGTGAATATGAGTATGCAATTTTGCATGTGCATCTTATGCAACCACCAAAACAGTCAAGATACTTGACTGCACCACCATCACAAGACTTCGTATTATTTTTCTTTTTAAAAAGATTTATATATTTATGCATACAGAACTAGGGTATGGGCCAGAGATGCAGGAGCAGTGAGAGGATTCATCAGAGACAGAGTGGGGAGCAGAACAGGCAGACTAAAGAAGTACATGGCTGAGGGGAATAGCAGGCAGGATAGGAGAGGTCTGCTGCACCGTGTGGATCACTCCCCTGGCTGGGGATCGAACTCTTGCTGAAACAGCTTTGGTTAGCTTCATAGTGCTACAACACCCATTGCACCATCAGGGAGGGCCTCAAGACTTCTTACTATTTCTTTATAGACATATTCATGTCCTTATTTCATTCCACAGCCCTGGTAACATTTAACATTGTCTTATATTGCTATAATTATTTTAAGAATGATGCATAAGTTGAATGAAGTAGAAGATGTCCTTTTGTGACTAGCTTTTAGCAATCAGTATAATTTCTTTGAGGTTATTTAAGTTGTGTCTAAAAGTAGTTATTTCTTTTTATTGGTAGGTAATATTCCATGTTGCTATGCCACAGTTTGTTTACTGATTTACTCATTGTATGACATTTGGGTTTTCCTAAGTTTGGGCATTCATATACAGATTTGTGTATAGAAATAAGTCTTCATTTATATGGGATAAACTCTCAGGTCAGGAATACAATTGTTGAGGCATATGGCAGATTCATGGCCAGTTCTCAAAGACACTGCAAAAGTTATTTTGCAGCAGCTGTAGTACTTTATATTGCTGCCAGCAATCTATGAGTGATTGGTTTCTCTGAATGTTCATCAACATGATGTTACCACTATTTTTTATTTTAGCCACTCCTAGGTATGTGGTGGTAACTCATGGTTTTAATTTGCATTTCTCTAATGGTTAATAATGCTTTACATTGTTCAATAGCTTATTTGCCATTAGTATATTCTCTTAGAAATGTCTAAGAATGCATTTTGCTCTTTTTAAAATTTGTTTATTTAATGTTGAGCTTTCAAACTTCTCTATTTAAGGTACATGTTCTTAGACATATGATTTGTAAATATTTTCTCCCATT